TCGAGAGGTGACCAATGCCCAGTAGTGGGAAATATAAATGGGTTGATAATATGGGACAATATTTCGAAAGTTACCAAATTGCAAATGCGTTCGTTATGACAAGGAGGGCTGAACAGCTATGTATGTCATGTCACGTGTTCAAGTTGATTGGTTTAAAAGTTACAAATTAAAATCCAGTTTTTAGTGTAACGTATTAAAATTCAAAAAATGGAAGTTATTGCATAAGTAATGATTTGCTTGTCCATCACTCCCGTCCGTTCGTCACATCTAATTTGTTTTAAATATAAAGAAACATCTAAAAGACTTATCAAATACTCGTAATTTGATAGAAAGCAGTGGCACTTTTTAGTGTCCCGATGCCAAGAATCACAAAGAGCCTTTAACCTATAAATAAAATCGTATTGGTAATTAGATCTTTCAATCAATCAATCAATCAATTTTCAACGAATACAATATCATTGATAGTAAAATTCAATATCTAGACATGTCCCATGTACACGAGAAACAACTTTGTAGAAAAAATATTAGAATTGTTAATTAATTAACTAATCAATCTTCTTGTTCTTGGCGTGTCTACTATGACGTTTATATTTGTGATGAGTACTTAGTGACTGAGACATCATTATCAGTGGCGTTGTACAGGTCCTAGCGTGTGCAGGTGTAGGGTCACGCAAGGCAGGACAAAACATGTGCCATAGTCCGGGGAGAGATACCACAAACATGCGCTCTAAGATATGTAACCCCACCCGTGCATGCACTCCTTGCTCCGGCCGACTGGGGTTCACAGTCTATTTAGGGACTTCCAAGTTTGTTAAGGTAGATCATGCCCAGGAGGGAGGTGTTCCGATAGCGGGATGAGTGATGCCGTGGGGTATCTCTCTTTCCAGAGACTTATTCGGGACTGGTTAGCTTCCCCGTCCATAGGGTACATGGCGATTCTTTAACCTCTGGATTACCGGCACGTGATGGCGTAATGGGTGCCGTGGGTCAGTTTAAGTTTATGTAATTTATTTCATTACCATTATTGCAAATGTTACGTACATCGTAATTGTCATGTATATCAGATGTAATACCGTATGTTGTATGTTTAAACGCTGTAATTATATGAAGAGGGTAGTTTTTTTTATAAGGACAAAGTGACGGGTCGAACAAGTCGTGCGTCTGATGGTAAGCGACACGCCTGTGACGGTGTGACCTCCTTACACCGTCATCTCACCTTTTTGTATCGCCTCTATCCTCTTGTATCTTATCATTTTTTTTATTTTACTTGCATTTAAATTTTAAATTCGAATTGTTCCATCTTCCTTCACTTTCTCATTTTGTTTTCGTACCACGGTCACTCCCAGCTCGACCGCCACAACAGTCAGAGCTGTTAATAAGCTAATCATGTGTAATAATTTATAAGTCTACACCCTTCATGTATCTATTTCTGTAATTCAGTTTCTCGGCCCATTTAGGGGTAAGTGCCTTAATAATAAAGTGTAGGGAGTGTTTTATACTGTTGTACCTGTTTTTTTACATTTACCTTTTATTGTTACAGCCCTTTCTTTAAACTTTACTTCTTTAATAAATTTTGTGGACCGGAAGTTTCCCATTTCATTGCCGTGAACCTGTTCACGGCTAGTTAGGGTTACAACCCTTTCACGCCTATCCATAACAGTAGCAATACCACTCAGAATCTAAATCACAAAGATATGAGGGACACTGTCACTGCACTTCACACCCTAAGACATAAGTTCCATGGACCTGCAATTACACTTGCTCCCTTGCCCTTCGAAACCGGAACGCAGTAATGCTCACGCTACTGCTTGTCGGCAGAAATAGATAATGTGGCAGTACTTTCCTGAACGAACTTTTTCACAAGGAGCCCTACTGCTACTTATTAAGTAAATACTTAATAAATCAATAAATCGCAAACGATCTGAAAATTATAAAGAACATATTGAATTAATCTTATTGAAAATAATGGAATTAGTTTTGTTTATACATAATAAATCAGTAATCCACTTGTAAACGTGAATATAAATTACTATAAAATAATAAATATAAAAAACTTTCAAATCGTGTTTTCTCAATACCACCATTTTTGAGTTACGACAGTATTTGATTTCATGTGCAAAATAAAAGATCTTTTTCACATTTCTCGTTAAGTACATCCACTTATTTTGATATTGAAACTAAAAATAACAATAGTTAATATTATAATATGAATCATAGATGGTCGTTTCCGCGTTGTTTTTTTGTTTGTGTCATCTTCGGTTTGAGGTGGCGCGTGGGTTTTGTTTAACAAGACTACGTTTAAAATTTATTGGGCATCAATTTTGTCATCTGTTTGCTTAGGAAATAAAACTTATTTGATTGGAGGACATTAAACATAATGTCCTCCAATCATGAGTAACAACTGGCAAATTCCACCGATAATTTAATTAAACTGGTATTAAAAGACACGTTAAGTATCCCACAGCGATTTTAAGTTCCGAGTGGCATTGCAACTGGTAGGGCGTGTAAATAGCCAAAGGTACTATGCGAAAAATGCGAACGGCTAGCGCGGGAGTTGGATCCAAAGGGAATTTAAAGGGCGGCAGAGATCCACTCACCTGGATGCTAGTCGGCGTAGATGAACGCGAAGCGGTTTATTTATTGCAGAAAAATTGCGGATAAACTTGACAAGAGGAATAATTAGAATGAATGATGACGTATTATTTTTTCTAAGCGGCCGACCAAAGAGCAGGCCTCTACTGCATATACCAAAGAGGATTTAGTGCGTAACCAGCAACTGTTACAGACAGGTGTGTCGCTTACTTGAATTGTTCGTCCCGTCACACGGTATCATAAAACAAAAAGACTGGAGCTACATTACCAGTGTGAAACCGTTGTTCTGGAAAAATGTCCTAATGCTATAATAATATCAATGCAATGAAAAGAATAAAATAACAAGATAAACATTAAATATTTACAAAAAAAGATTTCTTCTCCTAAAAATTCTTATTACCATACTCTCTGCAAAGGCAGAGATAACGAGGTCGTGGCAATGGCAATGGTTTTTACTCACACAGCTTCTTGATGCCTTTATATGGCCAGTATTGAGTTACAAGATCGCTATATTGAAAGAAACATGAATGGTTAACGTAACGTTCATGTGTTGTGTCTATTAGTTACTGCTATGTGAAATTTAGAGTACAACCAACCCGAGGTCAAAAGCGAATTAAGTTTATTTTTACAGAAAAAGGTCTAGGAATATTTTTTAGCAGCACACGAATGGGTTTATTGGAGTTAGAACTAACGTTCGATTCGGGGTTAGTAGGTAGTCATACTGCGGAGAAAAATCTTAACACCGCGATTCAGAAAGTGTGCGAAACAGTACAACGCCATCTAGTGCCAACTCGCGGAACTAACTATGTCTAATAAGTAGTACCAGCTTAGCTCAGTTTTGGTCTCATTTAAATTTGAAGAAAGTTTCCTAAGTACCTCTAAGGGTGACAGATTAGGGGATGAATCTGGTTTCACACAGTTACCGATAACCGATTTCAATAAAGCTTGGGAAATAGACGTAATTCCACGAATGTTTGAGGTCGGTTTTTCTTAAAAAGGTTACAATTATACTGAGCAAAATAAAACTTCAGTAAAGTCTTGTTAAAAGTACCTGATTATAATTTTAAGAGTTGTTTAACTTGAAATTGCTATTAATATTGTTGTTTATTATCTATGTTTAAGAAATACTTCTAAGTGTGAGGAGATATGTGTAATATTCTTGAATAGGGTCTATAATAGATGCAATTCATCATTATGCCTTGTATGGTGAAAGAATGACTTAAACGTGTAAATAAATCGATATATTTCCGTTCTGATAGATTTTGAATGACGTCACGAACATTTCCTGCTTTTGTAATTAAGTTTTATTGAATGTTGTTTCACTACGATGATATTCAATTGTTTTCTTGTGAAATTACTTCATTAGTTTGTTATAATTATTAAATAAAGATCGACACTTCGAAAAAATTCGCTTCGATCTGACTAGATTCGAACCAACGTCTCCTAGCAAACCGTGACAGGCGATACACCAACTAAGCCACGGTACGAACCAACGGATCTCACGATGTGCATCTTTGTTAAATACACTATTGTGATAGCAGTGCGATATGATAGTTTTTTTCTAGTTGGTGCACGCGGATTTGTCTGCGTGGAATAAGTATTTCGAGTGGCCTGTACCGAAGTACAGTGGTCTGTACAACTTGAGAAATATAACTATCATCCCCTACTTCACCTCTTTTAATATTTATTTTTCTGACAAAAAGTAGCCTATGTACCTACTTGTCGTAGGTCCCCTCTATCTATACCAAAATTCATCAAAGACCTAAGGTCGTATTCCAGAACTCTACTTAATGCTTAAGTCAGGATTTGAGCAGACTTGAGTATGATTTCAAACACTGGAAATACGACCCTAATGGCAAGGACTTGAGTATGATTTTCAATGCTCACTGCAATATTCAAGTCCTGACTTGATCAATGCTCAAGAATACGAGAGTTCTAGAATACGACCCTCAAATTGTCAAATGTTCAGCGGCTGAGGAGTGACAACGTAATAGAGTTACTTTCGCGTTTATAACATTATTCTGGATATTTCACAAGATAGTTTAAGAAAAAAGGTATGTCATAATATGCGATTGATTGTGCTATAAAATTACAGGTTGATGCAAGTTGCATGTGCCTATTAATAGAATCTGAACCGTAATTCCCTTCGAAAATATGTCAATCAAGTTCTCGTCAAGTCACGCCAATATGTTGATAACTCACGCCACCAGACTGGCGTAACTGAAGTACTAATGCAGTAAATAAAATCGTAACAAAAACTGCAATCAGACGGAAAATAATGATCTTAAATATTTTCTATCGTGCCAGGACTTAAACCTGAAATCTTCGAATCCGAAGCCCGACATTACATGAGCATAACGCACGGCATTACTCAACATGTTTGTATCCAACACTCAGGATAGACTTACCAGCACGGAAGACGTCACCGCAGCCATCACAGCGGCTGGCGAACTGGGCATCATAGCAGTTGCCACAGTAGATCTTGTCGAGCTTGGAGCCGAACTGCTTATCCACTAGGGAGACGCGACACTTCGCACACAGGAAACACGCCTCGTGCCAGTGCTTGTCTTTGTACGACAAATCCTGAAAGAACATTAGGTGTTGAGTGATGGAAGTAAAAAGTAAAAGTGGATGGAATCAGATGATGTTGTTCGGCATTGGCTGATCACAGACTTTTAAACGACGATGTGCATTGCACGCTGTTCTAGTAGTTTTCCTACATAGCGTAGGTGTATTTTATACCTTTACTAACGACGTGTAGGTAAGCCAAGATCTTTACAATACGACCGAAATACGAGTCCCAATACGAATAAAAACGATTCACCGAAGATGGTAGTCGTTAAACGTAGGCGCGTAGGTAGTAATTATTACTTTACCTTCATTGATCGAATCAAATGTTCAATGAGATGCAATCATGCCAATACTTATTTGGAGTAGAACATTCATTATGAAGCGATCTTTATAGATTTGAGCTAACACCATTTGTCTAAAAGATTGTGGTTGTGTGATTGCGTCCATCAATTCGTGTGTTACATCATCTTGACCTATTTCAACTTATGATTCACCAGATTTTACGACTCCAGATAAACACTCGAGATTGGTTATTATAATTTATTACATGATTTCACTCAAAGTTCACTGGCCAAAACTTACGAGCTGGATTCTGAATACCAATACTTCCTGGCAAATAGTGTGCAGGTAAATTTTTCAGGCCATTACAAATTAACACTCCGCCTAAAATAGAAATTGTACAAGTCGGCGACCACGTCCAGTTTCAAAATAATGCTCCCCTCATTCCTGCGCTATTCCTGGCGAGTGAAAACTAGGCGGGAATATACCTCCACTTCTTACACCGGGTGTCGTAATGTCAATAAAATATGAATGTTTATTTTGGCTGATTACAAAATACTTAAGGCTTAAATTACGCAGAACATAAATCTCAAAAAAATCGGCTGACGGATCTGCCGGCTCGTCAAGGTTGCTAGAAAACACTAAATTACATTGTATCCGACCCGAAAATAGGTTCGCTTAAGCCAGCACCCGATCTGTATCAGAAAGACTGTTAATTTGTTAAGTGAACAATTTCAACAATAAAACGTTTTTCATAGATTTATGATATTTGATGATGATATTTTCTTCGATAATAATAACAATTGCGATTTCATCTGAATTAAGACAAATTTAAGCTTTAGGCAATTTGTCACAAGGTTTTTGCGTTGACATTGGAGACGCTGGGAGGATTGTTGAGTTACGTGGGATTAGTCAACGACTATTGTATTTGGAGCAAAAGTGTGGTTAGGCGTAAACATTAGAAGCTTTGCAGCTGTTTGGTCGACAGGAAAAGTCATTCGTTGGTTAGATATAAATGTATAGCTTGGCGTGGCTACGTTATGTTGGCTTGGCAGCGATCGTGGTGGGGCCGTGTGCAGAGGTGCGCCACGAGAATCTAGGCCGGCTGGAGTGACATAACTAAATTTGATCGGTGGAACAAAGCTAAAGAATACTTCAGATTCTAATGCTATTCTCGATGACACTCGACAACATATTTAGGTTGACGATATACATAAAACTGTAAATAATTTGAAACTGAAAACTGATACAAGATTTAAAGAAAGATGCTAGCCTAGGATAAGACTCTTCAACAACACTTTAAAATCGTAACAATCATTATTATATCATCAGACATTAATTACATTACAGACAATATACAACGTCCAGAATAAACCGTTCTTTGTAGGTATATAACATTTAAAGAGACAGGTATACCCGAGTGCATTTATCGAATTGTCAAAAGAAAAGCTGTTTGCCAAAGTCGCAAATAACAGAGGCATGTTTATATATCAATTTGTAAATAAGATAAGCTCTAATGCGTGGTCTTACAACGAGACCATATTAGTTTCCAAAACTTTTGCAGCTGTAGTATATATAAGAGAGAAAATTGGAGTCAAAGTGAAGTTAAAGCTCAATGAAGCCCAACGAGTAAACAAGGAGGAATTCGGACGTTACGATGTTTATGAATTCATGGTATCATTATTTGGTTACAAATCGTAAATGTTTGGCTTTATAAACGCTGTATATATAGTTGTTCTCATTCCCTACTTTATAGTACTGAACAAGCTGTGAAATCATAATTTCTGCATTGATTTTCGAGCCGTCAATTCTGTTGAATTTATGGTAAACTGGCTAAGTTTGTTAACACCCGTATCTGTATCTCTGTACTGGCAATAAAGATAATTATATTGTTACCAACTAATCAGCAGGGCTCCTTATTTTATAGCCACTATGATAAGATGTAAGAATAGCATTAAATCTAACAATATGATCTTCATATGTTCAGTCGGTGCTATACAAATAGTGGATACATAAGTGAGGGCAACGACTGTACTGCCGGTGTAAGCAAGCCAAACGATCCTGAGGTACTTTTTAAACGAAGGGAACGCATTATATATGATACAAAGACCAAAGAAACATAAAGAAACAATCCTCTGACGGGACTCGAACTAGCATCTGTAGCCTCAACGTGGCTGTCGCTCTGCCTCCTGGGCTGCGGATTGAGCCATCAGATCTTAGGAATTTCTTTATTAAAAGACAACGTATGTTCACAAAATGTTTTATTATAAAGTAGGTACTATTCAAATTTAACTGCTAACTTCGATAAGGCCTTCAATAATACGGCTTTAAAAGTGAATTCAGGCATTTTACGCAGCCAATCTCTTCTTTCTCTACCACAAAGAGTAGCTAATGAAAATGATTACCTTCGAGTCAATGCCGATTATCTTATTGCACTCTTCGCATCCATTGGCGAAGACGCTCTCGTAGCACTTGATGCAGTAAGGATGTTCATCGCGAAGCACGTAGCGCTGACCTGTCAGCGACTCGTCGCACTGCCAGCAGCAGAAGTGGCCGCTGTGCCAGTCCTTGTTCATCGCCTTGGTGTATTCGCCGCTGAAAATTAGCTGCAAACAAGAGAATTTACTGTTAATGAAGATACTGATGTCTTGATGCCAGCTGTATACAGATTTTCAATGAAGTCAACGTCATTCTCAAAATGCTTTATATTCGTAAAATTGGTGATAAACGATTCTTTGTGTGAGTTTAAACATATGAACTTATGAAAAAAAAATTGCATATATACAAAAATCGTAAAATTAATGTCCTTGGTTTTGTTGTAAAGCGTATGTTCGGGCGCCAATTCTTAGTCACTTTGTAATATCGTTTTTAATGGAAAAGTTGCTAGAAAAACAAGAATGAGTAATCTGAAGAAAGGTACCGAAAGAGAATGACATAGTCGATGACAATGTTTACTATAAGAATCAAGCAGTACCGTAGGCATGTAATGTGGTTTTTGACTGGCTAGCGTAGAGTGCGAAATACAGACTTTGTTATCAAAAATATTACAGTAAAATAGTATTTTATGTGAAATATCACATACTTTTAAAAACTGCGTTGTTCAAGATACAAGCATCTATTTCGAAATTTATATTTGTTCTAATGTTTTTCATGTTACAATTACCAATAAATATTTTCTAGATAGAAGGTCTATTACAACGAGTTAATCTGATACTAACGCTTATCTATTGAGGCCTAAGTTCAAATCTAAAGTATACATTGTTCTGAATATTTCGAAAATATAGGATTTGACATTTCGAAGCGAACGTCAAGCTGATTTTCTTGGATTTGAAACAACTTACTTGAATTTCAAATGAATTTAGCAGTATAGAGTAAGTAAAAAAAAAATAGTTTCAATTGAAATTGTTATAAAATGAATTCTATTTTTAGAATATTTTCAGAAAATTGTGAACTTTCTACAAATTCCAATGTACATATATATAGCATACCTTAAATTAGGGTGGGTATGTGAGGGTGGCCAAAATTTTAAATCTAGCATAGGTAAACATTGGGAACGTCACTCGGGATCGGTAATCGACACTTGGCGACACAGACACACTGGCGTCACTCACTGCACGAGGGTCAAGGGAGTTTGGCCACCGCTACACATACCCATCGTCGTTGGTTGTGGTGGTGTTGGTCTGCTCGACCTCCGTGACAGTGACGTCACCATCGGCATTCTGCCCGGACTCCCTACGCTTGGAGGTCTTTTTGACCTTCCTGGTCTTGCGCTCGGTGGTTGTGTACTGGACTTGTACGTCTACGTCAGCCATGGTACTGGATGGACACTTTTCTCTTTCACTAGGATTATCAGTTCTCAATATCACCGGACGCGGTCGCGACCCGAATTCGAATGCGAGCACCGGTGGCTGAATCGCAGGAATTATTCCAGAATGTTTAGCGAGCACGATCGCGTCGGTGGGGGGAGTATGGGATTTAAATTTGGAAGAGTGACGGAGAGGGCAGGTGCGCGGGCGTTTCCGAGCGAAGCGACCCGAGAATCACGCGTTTCCTCGCCCCATCCGCGGCGCTGGTCCGACACGTCCGGCGTCAGAATACCCCGGATGGATACATAAACACTGCTCTCTGCCACTTACGATGTAGGCCGTCTCACAAGATATGGATATTACAAACCGCTCGCTTATCGCTTGGCCAGGATTCAAGTAACACGAGGTTATTATTGGCGAACAATGATTAATGCTCGATGCTTGACCCGAAAGCCAATTAAATTCAGAGTATTTTCAACGCAGTGTTTTCAGTTTCAAGTGATATGTTTGCAAAAGCTTGCTCAAGATCACCGTTCGAAAATGTGAGGAATTGAGCGTAGCTAAATACTTTGTCGATGATTTAAAACGGCTGTTCGTAGCGGAGCGAAAAATTTAATGTACCTACAATACCATTCCTAATTTGGGGGAATCTTACCCAGTCTTCATCTGCATTATATTGACGTATATTTGTGGTTCCAGATTCTATATGCTATGAGAACATCGAAATTAAACGAATCACTCAGCCACCATGAAATACGTTTTGTACAGATTTCATTCAAATTTTTCAATCTAGAATAACAGGAAACAACCTGTCATCATTCGCAAATTCCTTTACATTTCCCGTAGTAACAACTGGCTTCCGCAAAGCTTGAGAACACATCAAAGTTTGTTTAGGTATTCTTAAAACCAACGCGTTTGAAATCTGATGAAATTGAAGTCAAGAATGAAGTGATTCATAGGAACTGTTTTTTGCAGAACATTTTTGGAACCAGTGTAGATTTTTCTGATCTGATGTGTCCGGACACTTCATTTAATGTTTATTAATATTTTGTTTCGAATGTTATTTGGTTTTCCATGTTGCAATAATTATTGTTTATTTGATGATTATTATCTTCAAGATTCAATTAATTTTTCTAAAGCTTAGGTGTTATAGTTTATTTTCCAAGCAACCTTCTGAGGCGGTCGATGGCAACGCCTTGCAGCAAGGTCTTGGTCAGCCCGGTTGGTTATTTATATCTATTGCTTGTATTTAGGTGATCCCTAACACCTGTTCACGTAGGAATCGTTGTTTGCGTGGAACTGAAACAAGATGACGTCATATCCTAATACAAAAAGAAACCCTCTGATCTGATCGTAGTTTTCGTTCAGTATACCATCGTTATTATCAATTGTTCTAAGTATCACGTGAATTTTGGAAACATTTATGAAATAAACTTTCATAAAAGCACGCATGGTCATCCATAAGTCATAGTCTTTTCATAAAACTCTTTACGAATTTTCTTGCAATGGTTTATGGGTTATTGTACAAGTTACAGTGCTTCTCGAATCTACTTTATATATATATAGATTTATAAAGCTTCAATAATCTGAATCACCCTTACTATATCATTCGAAAATACTTCAGTCTTTTAATCCTGATTCATTCATCGACCGCGAATAATTCGATATTTTGGAAAAATAAATGTTATGTGTACATTTTGACTTTGCTTTGGCATCGTTTCGAAGTTATATTTAAACGTCTGACGAACGTTACACCCGTCCAAAATAGAATATAAAGGATACTGTTGCTTCAGTAGAACAGTATGGGAAAACTATGAGGTAATTGTTATGTGTTGGAATTTTGTATCCAAACGCTCGTTTCAAAGAATCCTCGTTACTGATTACACTTGTACATTCTTGAGTACTACTGTTTGAGCGTATCTCGTATATCGAGTTTTTAGGTTTTCGCGTTCTTTGTATAGGAAATGTTCATATCTAAATCGTATATATTTGTATTTTTTTTTCAAACACACCAACGTATCGGGCCCTTTACAGATTCCATCATCATCAAGCCATTTATGACTGCTGGGCATGAGTCTCTTCTCAGGCAAGACTTTAGACCATAGTCCTCCCTCTGGCTCAAAGGGTTGGGGACTTCACACGTTTTCCGAGGGTTGTGTAACTTCTTAGACGTGCAGGTTTCATCAAAATGTTTTCCTTCATCGAAAAACATATGGTGAATCAAATTAAATCTCACATATAAAACCCAAGAAACTTACGAGGTGCGAGCCCGGATTCAAACCTCTGCTAGAGGTTGTGACCTCTGCTGGAGAGGCGTTAGGGCTAAACCATTAGGCTACCACGGCGTTGTCTCATCTTTTAGCCTTGACATCAGTCCATTGACTTCTGTCCATAGCACAGTCTTATAACTGCGTTTTGATTATAGTGCCCTTCCCTATCAACCCCTTGGATATTCGGGAACTGCAAGCAAGCAACCTGCACAGGGAGTTAATTCAGTCATGTCAGCCTGTTTACACAGGCTCAATTTGGGGCTCAAAAGGCAAGTGCCAGAGGTGAGCGACCTCGGGCGCACGTACTGCACCCTCCCTGTTATCTTGATAGGTACCGGGGCTGTTGACACACTCACCTCCCGTTGTGCATTGCACTACTAGCAGCTGCCACTGCTAAGCCGTTGGATCTAAATTCAAGTACCAAATTAGCAGAGTTTAGAGTCCATTTATTTTTATAAAAGCTAGCGGAGATCATCTCTGTAAAACCAAGTCCCTAAATAAATAATGAATATAAAAAAAGAATCTCTGTAAAACATTACAATGGCGGATGATACCTGCCAGGTATGCTTTCACGAATTGTAATACAATTTCGGAAGGGGCATGAAAATCTTTGAGACTGAGAAATAATGATAATGATGAAATAATCATAAAAATAATGATGAAATGTAAATATAAATATGATATCGAGTTCTTAGATCATGGTCACATGGTTAGCCAGTGGCAGATTTGACCGCCCTAGGCCCCAGGCCATGTAGTTAGTACTAGTACCAGCCGCCCCATTCTCAGCACTCCTCATATACTGGTAGACTACATAGTGAATTTACTTTATTGCCCACTTTTATCGAAATCTATTCAGAAATTTACTATTTCATATTTTTAATAATTTCAAAATTTTTGTAGAACATTGATTTGATATATCTCTGTTAGTTTATGGGACGCACGCCAGTAAAGCTCCCAGCCGGCATGATTTTTTCCGCAATCTTCAACATTTATCGTCATATTTTACCCAACTTACACAAAACCTAAATAAATTATACACTTAAACCTTCCTCATGAATCACTCTGTCTATTGGCCGCATGAAAATCCGTTCAGTAGTTTCGAGTTTATCGCGATCAGACAGACACACAGACGCGGCAGTAACACTGCCCTCGGAGCGAAAAAAAGCACAACTGCTGTTTAAAGTACGCATAGTAGTGCCTTTTTTCGTTACGAGGGCAGAATCATATATAATGATGTAGTGATTATACATTTCATTATATGTATGTAACATATCTATATTTTATACATAAAATTAAAAATTTATATTAAAATTATTGTTATACCATGCGGTGCAGTGTGGCTGGCCCGCCATAATGTGCGTGAACCTTTAAAATGTTTAGGTATGTTTAGTTATTTCTGGTTACCATCGGTGAATTTTTTGTCACGATTGGCCGCCCCTAAAATCCGGCTGCGGTCTTAGGGCAAATCCGCCACTGTGGCGGCTAACCACATGTAATATGCAAAGAACTCGAAACGTTGGATGATTTTTT